GTCTCTTCAAATTGGGAGAGGCCATGATGCACCGCCTGCCTCCAGGCTGAATGCTCAGATGTCAAGGTTTCCCATCTGTTGAGGTCCATTCCTAAGGCCTTCAGATCCCACTTGCAAATTATTTTTATAATTATTTGTAATTATTTTATAAATTATTTTAGCCTTCAGATCCCACTTTATCACAGCTGTGCTCTCCCTCTGGGGTGTGTTCCCTGCACTAATTCTCCATACAGGAGACCTCTTGGAACCCGACCGTCAGCCATTCTCACGACATGACCAAGCCAACGTAGACGTCACTGTTTCAGTAATGTATACATGATAAAAATTCCAGCTCGTTCTAGGACTACTCTATTTGGAACTTTGTCCTGCCAGGTGATACCAAAAATGCGTCAGAGACAACGCATATGGAAGGTGTTCAGCTTCCTCTCCTGTGCACAAAGGGTCCAGGACTCCCTGCAGTGCAGGAGTGTACTCAGGACACAGGCTCTATAGGCCTGGATCTTGGTATATGCCATCGACTTCTTATTAAGCCATACTCTCTTTGTGAGTCTTACCAAAATACAGCCATAGTTAATGACAACATCAGAATTAATGTGATGCAACTTTGCATTACATAATTTCGGCCACTGAGTTGTTTTGCCAGATCTCTGCTTTATTATAGTTTTCTGTGATATATGGAGTCCTCCTGAGTATTACACTAATCTCCTTTCTTCGATTTAGCCCTCAAGGCCAACTTTTTCCTTCTTAATACTGGTCTGCTGCAGTGCTGCAATATTCTTGTGTTGACAAAAGGAGTAATGTTTCCATAATAAGTGGCTTCGTGTCTGAAAAGGTTTATCTGCCCTAGCCCAGCCACCTAAGTCATTATAGATTACATTTTCAGCTGGTAAATCATGATGGATTCTCATTATACCATTTTATTTTATAGAGCTGATGACTTCCTAGTTATACATACTCGGGAAGACTTGGGAAACATTCAGGGAACGACACCTTATACTCACAGCAATCCTGGTACTCCCATCAATATGCCTTGGCTTGGCAGTACCCAAACTGGCAGAGGTGCTGCTGTGGTGAGTTGTTAGTCATGCTCTTAATAATGAAACTGTCATGACAGTTTCTATGCCTATCACATTTATAATACATCTAAACAGAGCTGCATAAAAGAGAGTATAAGTAAGTCACTGTCATGATTCCATGTATAAATCCACAGCTTTAACAGTGCTCTTTGATTGAAGAAAACATACTCTGTTAGGGAGGAAAAATTCCTGCATAATCTCTCTATAGGCTAATGTTGTGTCCATAGTGCAGATGGCAGTGGGAAGGGTGCTTTGGCTAAAATAATTTGCCAGGGAGTTTCAAGTAGAAATATAATTGGAACCAACAGATTATTTTTGTTTTATTTATTCTGCCTTTTTTCTGTGGTCTTTTCACAGCTGCTCTTATCTCAGTCTACTGTTGGCTTTATAAGCTGCCCATCAGCTTTATTGTGGTCTCTTTCATTTACAGTATTCTTGTTTAATAGTTGTCTTCTTAGAACCAGTATGTACATTTAGTTCAAAGTTAGCCATTCATGCTCTTTTCTCAGAAGAAAGTGTTTGTAGAAATATTTGCCTGTTGTTCCCCCCATTTTCCTCCATTGCCTCTTGCAGTACGTAGAAGCTTTTCAAACTTCAGAGCATTGTGTCACTTGCTCAATGGGAGACAGAGGCTTCTGGGCCAGGCTAGTCTCCTGTTTCTGCGAAGTGTTATTATATTACTACTTTTTAGAAAATTATTGTTTTAACTTTCTCAGAAAGAAACCTGAATGGCCCATATCTTTATGTATAAAGACACAGAAGCCTACATATATGTTAAAAAATCTCAGTAATGCTGTTAATTTCATAATAGATGGAGGGAGAGGCTATATGTAGTTCTGCTAGTGTGTGTGTGCGTGTTTGTTTGTTTGTTTGTTTGTTTGTTTGA